AAAGATACCCCTACCGAATAAAAATTGAGAAATGCTGTCACAGATAAATTACAAAATGCATCACTATAGTTAGATAGGCCACAGCACCAAGTATGTGGCAAAGTATCTTCCAACCTTATTTCAACTTTTAAATATGCATACCAATGTTATTAGAAACCACACTGAATTTAAATATGCATACCAATGTTATTAGAAACCACACTGAATTTTGTATTTTGACAGACAAGTGAAAATCAGCAGACTACCAATAAAGTATAAAAATGATTTCACAGGTAACTCTTACTCTAGAGCAGTGGTTCTCAGCCATCCTAATGCTGCGACCCTTTAATATATACAGTTCGTCATGTTGTGGTGATCCCCAATCATAAAATTATTTTCACTGCTACTTCATGACTGTAAATTTGGCTAGTGTTGTGAATTGTAATGTAAATACCTTTGTGCTCTGATGGTCTTAGGTGACCCCTGTTAAAGCATTGTTTGACTCTCCAGGGGCTCGTAACCCCCAGGTTGAGAACCACTGCTCTAGAGGTTCAAATTAATTTGAATACCTCCTTTTTCTGGGCTCTTAATAGCTAGGATTACAGCTGTGCACCACTAGGCCTGACTTCACTTAGTTTTACGTTTTATTTTGTTAACAGTGTCTGTGGGGGAGAAATATTTTCTAAAAATGAATAATTTACACAGAAATAGAATATTTGTGGAAAATGTCTTATGAATTTTCATTCATCTAGACACCTTGGGTGACTTATATGAGAATAAAAACTCTTTTATGAGAGACTCATGTCTTTTAGTAATTATGCTTTATTTCCAGTGCACCATGTTACATAAATTTAAAACAGAAATAATATATGAGCTTAATTAAGAAGACATAAAACTACCCACATGAGTTTAGGAACATATTACTCTTCTAGAAAAGGCCAGGAACTTTATTAGTTCCACATTAATATTTCTGCTGACAGCTTCGGCTGTTTACAGGAGCAAAAATGTTCTACATTTAAAAACCATGAATGACTTTTAATGAGGGATATTTTGCATTAGAGTTTCACAGTCGCGATTTGTAGTTAGATCAGCATTCTCCCAAACCAGTAGCCATGTCAGCATTCAAGCTCACTGAAATCCCCAAATGGTTTCCTTTACAACAGAATAATCAAGGGCTGCTGAGATGGCTCAGGAAAAAATTGCTGCTGAACCTGGTGACCTGAGTTCAATGTCTGAAACCCACGTGGTGCAATGGAAGAACCAGCAACCTCAAGTTATTCTCTGACCTCCATAGTCACGCCATGGCACATGAGCAAGTGTATGTGCATAACACACACACATACACACACACGCACGCATGCACGCACGCACAGTAAATATAAAAAAATACTCAAGAGACTGATACTCCAGCATTTTTCAGTCTTCTGCAAGCACTACGCAGTGTACACAACACTTAATTGTGGTTAGATCCCGTTCTTGACGTTAGTCTGATTTCTAGGGATACTGTAAAAACAATTATTTCATAGCATCAGGAAGTTCTGCCCTTGTTACTGCCAGTCTACAAAAATATTACCGAAGGGTATAGACATGAAGGTGACTCAGCTGAAGCTAATTACTCAAAATACACCCACAATAGGTATAGTTTTTCTGGCTGATATATTAATATAATCCTTTGTCTTTCCAAAGTTGGAAGAAATTTGTTGAGTCTCTGCTAGAAACTTAAATTGCAAAGTTAGGAAGTTTGTTTTCTCACTTATAGACAGTAAATATTTCTGTTTAAGCCATTCTTTAATTACCAATTGAAGAGTATAACTATAATATGCATGTCAATAAGGTCATAATAGATCTTTTTGCTTCTAGAGGAAATAGGCTAGTTTCTCTAAGTTGCAATATAAATATGTATTTATGTGTATACAACAGGAAAGCATCCAAATCTATTAATTTATTTAATAAGTACTAATTAAGGACCTATTATATGTCACTTAGGACAACTCAAAATCACTACTTTTAAATTATTCTGGAATGGAAGGAAGAAAGGGTGGTTCCAGCTAAGTGTAGCCTACAACTATTTATTGGCCCGTGAAACGCATAGATGGTACTGCTAGCTTTCATATTTTATGTATTTTGTGCATGAACACTTTAAAGAAATTCCAGGTCCAATCTAACTGAACTGGATAGCTAAACTTGGATAGAGTTAATCTGAATTTTTCAAGTAGGCCATGTTTCTTTATATTGTTCCTAGTATACATATGAAATAGATAATCCCTTTGAGTTGACACCTGACTTCTGACTTCAAAATGTTTCATGTATTCAAGATACTTAACACATACCCTGGCCTCCTTTCATCACCAAGCCATTAACTCAGGACTGCCACCTAGATGGGCTACAGTCTTTTCTAAGTTATGACCACTCTGTCCTATTTTGCTTGTTCATATCTCATAATTCAATCCATTTACTTCAGGCCATTTCTTTCTTATAATGGAAAGTGTGTGCCCTTAGGCCCCTATACTTCTTTGGACACTTTGAGAAAGCTATTTCTCTCTCTCTCTCTCTTTCCCTCCCCTCCCTCCCTCTCATGGGAAAAGCCTGTGTGTGTTGTTCATGTATGCATATGTATGTGTGAGTGGGTATGCATATAGGTACACATACAAACAGAGGCCAGAGGTTAATGTTAATTCTCTCCACCGTATTTTACTAAGACAGGGTATCTCATTGAATATGGAGCTCAGCAGCTCGGCAATTCAGCAAGACTAGCTGGATAGCAAGCACTGGAATCCGATATTCACCTCCCCAGTACTAATATTGCAGGAGTGTATTACTACACCTGGATTTGTAAATTTTTTAAAAAAGATTTATTTGTTAATTATGTATATAGCGATCTGCCCTATGTATCCCTGCAGGCCAGAAGAGGGCACCAAATCTTATAGATGGTTGTGAGCTACTGTGTGGTTGCTAGGAATTGAACTCAGGACCTCTGGAAGACCAGTCAGTGTTCTTAACCTCTAAGCCATCTCTCTGACTCCCTACACCTGGATTTTTAAGAGGGTGCCGGGGTGGCAAGCACTGTACCAACTAATCATCTCACCAGCTTCTCCATTCCATTGATGCAGACCAAAGACACAGGCCAGTCCTCAGGTGGTCTCTTATCAGGCACCTACGGTGTGCTACTCACACTGTACTGGACTCCAGAACTGCTACACAGAGAAGCAGAGGCTAGACCGTTTCATATACCGAAAGAAATCTCTGACAGCAGTGTTAGATTGGGCACTATAAAAACTGAAACCAACTTTGGAAATAACTAAGAATCCCATTTAAGCATCCTTCCAAATGTACCGACTTTGTATCATACTTGCTGTTCTTAAGCATTGATACGTGGCAGAAATAAGCACCTTCCCATGGTTGGTTCTCATTTGGTTCTGGCACTAGAACTGACTTTTTAGTCTCTTGAAAAGTGACAATGGTCTTTCTATAGCATGAATAAATTATATTCTCAGCCTAAAATAAAAACCTAACAGCCACTTGATGAATGATTTCCCAGGGAAACGGGCTCTTACATTCAGCAGTCTGCTTACAAAGGAGCTCCTGAAATAAAGCGTTTGTAAATTGTGATGGCACACTCTTTCTCTCTGTGTTTACATTACTGTGTGCCTAAGAAGTGGTGACATCACTAGGTAACACTAGCAAATTACTAAAGCAATTTCCCCCAGAAGACTGTCAAGTTTAATGTAAATTCCATCCATCTAAGGATGGAGTATTGAGATTATGTAAAGAAATAAAAGTGCTGACTTTAATTGTATAAGAGTTTGTTCAGAAGTTTCCACAGGCCCTGAGTTGCTTCTTATATGTTAGATCAACAAACTGGAGGGGAAAAAAGCCACAAAAGAAAACCTGTTCTACAGGGTTCTGTACACGTAGACCAGAGGAGCTACTGGAAAAAGCAAGCCGTTCTATGTCCAGGCTCTACGCCTGTCCAGAGTTTACTGGCTCTCTGCAGGAGCCTTCATTTTCATTAATTTTTTTCTGCCTTAAAAGACTCACTTGAATCAATAGCCAAAGGCACACATTTCTTGAGGCTAGCACAGGGTAGAATAGAAACTTTGCTCAAAATAGTTGTCTTTATGCAATGAATCAATTTAATAGTTAACAATATATATACTTCCTTCTACAGAAGAATAATCACACACTTATATGCATACTTTTTATATAACACATATGTCTACACCTATATGCAGCTGTAGAAAATATACAATATCCTTTTAAAGATTATACAAATGAAGGCTCTATTGAAATGTAAATAAACATAGCAAGAATTTACTTTTTTGCTCTTTACACATATACTTCTAGTTATATCTCTGCAAGTGAGCTACATGACCGACTATATGGGAACTTGGTGTCACTATAAGAAGAAAATGCCTAACTCTTTTAACTCAAAAATGTATATTTATTCATCTTACATGAATGATAAGTTATACAGGTAAATTATCTCCTTTTTATTTTTCTCACAGAACTTTGGAAAAATCAGGTGTTACTTTGGGTTTCATAGTAGCATCTAACATTTAAATTATATGTACTTTCAATTAATGCTAGCAATACTTTAAGCTGAATTATGGTAGAAGGATGTAATTCATAATAACTTATAATATCAAACACTATGACAATAGCTTTAAATTTTCTGACAATATATAGATAGATAACTTACAAATTTTCAAACACGTGATAGGAAAACATGAAGAACAGAAACTGCCACTATTTTTGGAAACTGTAAATAAAAAACCATTTCCAAAATAAGATATTTGGAGGACACAGAAAAGTTGGTAAGGATTCAAGTGCCTTAGGCAACAGAGAAGTACTGTTTTGTAGTTGTTGTTTTTCCGGACCTCTCCTAGTAACAGCAGTTCATCGTGCAAAGAAACAAGCAACAGTCCAATTTAACATATAAGTATTGCTGTAGAACTCAATTATCTCTTATTAATTCACTTTCCTCAACCCAAACCAATACAGAAAACTTTGCTGTTACTCACCAAGGGCTATAGAAACTCCCCAGCGTGTCTAAGCAACAAAACGTAGAGCCATGGTGAGGTGCTGAAGACAGCTCTTTTCTCGGGGTCAAAGCACTTCAGATGAAGTAGCCTTTCTCTTCCATTTAATAAAGGATGCCTCCTCCTCCTCAAGTGTGGTGGAGAAAGACTGCACAATTCTGTCTTGACTTTCTGACTCTGAAGAGTAACAGTTACCGCCGGAAAACGTTAGCAGAAAATGATCACTTGAACACTCACAGAGAGCCGCAGTAAATTTCCACTCTGCTAGCTCTCGGATTCCAAACCTTGCTTGTCTCTTAATCTGTCATAGGCAGTTCTGTTTCTGGTCAAACCAGCTTGCTTATTCGCTCGCTCTCCCTCTCTAGCACGGGGCTTGAGATGCACACCACACAGTCACAGCTCCTTTTCCCCCCTCCCTGCCGCCCCTGTTGTGTAACGTTACAAGACTGCCTGTCTGTAAAGCAATTAACAGAGACAAAATTAATTCTCGGGCAAAAAGAAAAGTCTGAAGATAAACAGAAATTTGTCATCACTTTTTCCCTCCAAGTCTTGAACCAATTTCTGTATGGGATTTTGTCAGACGATTAAGCTGGCTCGACCATCTTACTCCAAAATATAAATGTAGATTCCCAGCAACTGCTCACTGACGGTAACAATAACAGGCCTGACGGCTAACGTGTGGGCTCCTCAGGGAGAATGCTGTCACAATGAGAACGCGCAGTGAGGAGATATGCAGGCACTACCAGTGTAACCAGAAAGCAAGGGAGACCTCAGAGTGTTAATAACTGAATTTTAACAGTGTAATTTTTATAAAAAGGCAATCAATTTTTTAGTACTTTACGTTTTCAAATGCAGAGTAACACTTGCAGTTATAATGAAAAAATTATAAGAACAGAAAACTACAGACACCAGAGATCTAACTAGAGTCTCTTATGTTTTATTGCAAACTAGACGCAACTATTTCAACAGAAAGTTTTCTATCTAAGCATTTGTGGTCAAGCTCCGCTATTCCTATTTAGTGAGAATTGGAAAGGCCACAGAGAACAGTTAAAAATTCTCACATCCATATTCGTATAGTAAAACACCTTCAAATTATGGCTTCGAGACTAGGCTTTGGGGAAGGCAGAGTGAAAAGGTGACTTGGACGACATTTTCAGGATTCTTTGGAACTGAATTCCCAGGTCTGTACTGAAGCCAGTTACAGCTGCTTTGGAGTGTCAGCCCCCAGCCTCCAATATGCAAGAGTCCTTGGTTTCTCTCCCCAGGACTCCCCATTACGGACCTGACAACAGTAGTTATGGACCTATTACTCAGACACTAATGCTTCTCGACAGAACTAGTTTATCTCGGAGTATGAGCTCAATTAAAGTCTAACTACCTCTAAATAGCTGTTTAAATGCCTGAAGAAAAACAAGCATATAAAATTTGACTTTAAAATAGAGATTATTGGGCTAGTGGTGCAGCTAGGAAGATAAAGGTGATTGCCATTAAGCCTAGTTCAATCTTCAGGACCAGACAGCAGGAGGAGGGAACTGACAACACAGGTTGTTCTCTGAACACATGTACAGAGCGGCACATGCACAAATACACACAACAAAATAAATGGAGTATATATACTTAATGAGGTCCATTTAAAGCAGTGAAGTTGGGGTTAGTAAATTTTGTTTTCCCGAGCTGGAAATCAAATCCAGAGGCTTGTGCTAGGTAAGTGCTTTATCATTGAGTCAAAGTCCCAGCTAAAACATAGTTTTGAATTTTAAATATACTATACATAATTAGTTAGGTATTTCTTAACATCTAAGAATAGGTATCAAATTTGTCTAGAGATCAGCCAAAAATTATTCTTTCAATCACATTTGAAAATAAATCAATTTTATGTCCTAGTCTGTAAGTCTTCCTTTTTCTCACCTTTCACAACAAGGCCTCGATGTTTAAGTCAAATCTGGCCTTGAATTCCTATCAGCCTCCCAAGTGCTGGGTTAACAGACATGACCAGATCTTGATGTCAAATGCAAATTATTCTAAACTGGTAAGGACTATTAATGCCTTGTACCCTGGATATATTCTCAAGAGTCCTACCACAATCAAAGAAATTCAGAATTTATAAGAGTGGTTCTTAAAAAGACTTCAAGGTAAATGTTTTAAAGTATTTTTGAAATCAGAAGACCTATGGCTTCAAAACTCAGCACAGAAAGTAATATCCATAGGGGATAGGGATAGGCGCAGAGCACTAAGGGCAGAGCACTCACCAATCTATCCTGTATCTACAAAGGCCCAGCGCTCCACTCCAGGCCCCATTGCCCCTCTCATATGAATACATAGACTTAGTAAGAAGGCTATTAGACCACAAAGACATCGATTTTACTTTTTCTAAAAGACAAAATGGGATGGGCCTCCTTCTCTGACCACAGTAATAGAACAGATGTTATAACCAGAAGTTGCTGGCCCCACTCAGGCCTGATTCACTGGTGGACACAGATGGCACCTACTCCCCCCACTACTTCTGAGTCTGCAGGGGTCACAATCAACCAGGAGCCCACATGGTGCCAGATCTCTAGGCCTAGAAATGGGAGAGAGGAAAAACAACGGCTCCACGCTATACCTTGTGGCTGAGGCGGCAACCCAGTCAAGTGCCACCGTGACCCACCTAAGAGCCCAGGCAGTGGGCAGCTGAGCATCAATGTGGTGAAAGAGTACAGGGTGGGATATGGAAGAGAGGGAGAGGCAGATCAGAAGAGGTGAGGGTGCTGAGGAACGTGCTGATTGAATGACCAGCTGGCCACCCGAGTCCAGGGAGATATCAGGGCCTGGGCTATGACTCGGCTTGATCTGTGGCCCTGGAGCAGCCAAGCAGGCCGTGTTGATTATCTGTGTTTCATGTTGTGGCTAGGGGCCACCTGGGGCCACGTTGGTATCTGAGGGTTGTACTGCTGCGGGGGTCACACCAATCTGGGTGGCGTGCACAGCCACTTGGGGTCAAGCTGGCCCAGGCTGTCAAGGACCATGTCTGGGTCCATAGTCCTGCTGTGGCTGGGGTCTGTGTTTATATCCCTGGCCCATGTTAGTGCTAGGGCCCACATGGATTCTAGAGGTCTGGGCAGCAAGGCACCTGTGTCCATGTTGGTGGCTGAGGGACGGTTGTACTGCTGCCAGGGTCAGGCCAATTGGGTGACTAGGGCTGTCAACTGGAGCCATGTTTGTGTCCATGGCCCTGCTGCAGCCAGGATCTGTGTTGATGTCTGTGGCTCCTGAGACAGTCAAAGACCATGGCCATGCTGGGCCACCTGGGACCATATTGGTGTCGGAAGGTCACGTTGAGGAGGGTTGCCTGTGCTGCCATCTGGGGCCATGGTGACAACCTGGCTGTGGCCATGGTCCTACCACACCCAGGGACTGTGGCTTGTATTGCCACCAAAAGCCACATAAATGCCTGGGATCTGGGCTGCAACCTATGGCCACGAGGGTATCCGAGGGCCATGCTGCCACCAGGGGCCATGGTGTTGTCCAGTGACAGGCCACTGCATAGGGCCATGTCAGGGTCTGTGGCCCTGTGAGAGCTGGGGTCTTGGGTGGTGTCTGTGGCTCCAGTTGCCACCAAAAGCTCTGTGGATGCTGGGGTCTGGCTAGCCATCTGTGACCACACTGGTGACCTGGGGCCATGCTGATTTGAATGGTCTGTGCTGCCACAGGGGCCATGATGCTTGGGCATCTGGGCCCAAGCTGCTGCTGAAATCCCTGTCTGGGCCTGTGGTGATGTCCACTGCCTGGATTAACATGGGGTCACTGGAACTATGCTGTGCAGAGCCAGCCCCACCCTTCACTGGCCCTGCCTCTTGCCTGATACTACAGCAGGTGAACTGGCCAAACCCCTCAGGGGAAAGCTCACCCCCTCCCCTGGGAAAGATGGCCCTATACCTCTCGCCTACCATGTGGGGGCATGGGTAAGAGAAAGATGTTCTCCCCATCTCACCCATTACCACTTATAGCAGATGAGAGAGCTAGGTGGCCCTGAGGTCACAAGAGTGGGAGAGCTAGCCCTGACCCCCACCGGCTACAGTGAACGAGAAAGCAGCCTCTGCTTCCCCTATGGGCAGCACACTAGAGCTGGCCCTGCTGTTGGCGAAGCAGGTGAGCCAGCCCTGAGGGTGTGAGAGCAACAGAGCTAATTGCCCCCATCTGCCATACGGTGGACATAGCTGTGGAAAAGATGTCCTCCCCTCTGTCCCTTGCTACTTGCGACCCGCGACAGAGATGGCCCCAGGGTCATCAGAGGGAGAGAACTATCCCTGTGCCACACCAGCTGCAGCACACTCAAGAGCAGGCCCTGCTCCCCGCCTAGGCAGCACACTAGAGCACACTGTGTTGTTAGGGGCACATGTGAGCCATCCCCGAGGGCATGAGAGCAGGAAAGCTGAGCCTGCTACATCAATCACCTTGCCTAAGCACAACAGTAGGGCTGGCCCTGGTGATGACAGTGAGAGAGACTCACTCTGAGGGCCCTAAAGAGAACTGATCCAGCTCTTTGCTGTAGGCTGCACTGGGTGAACTAGCCGACACACTGCTGGAGAGCTCATCTGGGGAGTAAGGATGAGGCTGACCAACACAGCTACTACCCAGGCCCAGAACCAGGGCTACGAGTTGGCCTACCCCAATATCCGCACAATCTATTAACTGTTGGAGCATGTGAAGGGGATGAGCAGACAGATCCAAAACAACAGGATCCCCATGACACAGGACAACAACAGGATATCCAAGAGGAGCCCCATGACACAGGACAACAGGATATCCAAGAGGAGCCCCATTGGAGCCCATTATTGGTTATGTAGCAGAAACCCGAGGCCTGGAGCTGACAGAGGCCTCGTGGCAATGTGTTGTGGAATACTAGTTAAAGATGTGTTACATTTATTTATGCTGTGGAATGTTTGTTTGATGATGCAAAGATGTGTTGCATTTGTTTAACTCTATGAAGCTGTGTTACCTTGCCTGTTGAAAACACCTGATTGGTCTAATAATGAGCTGAATGGTTGATAACTAGGCAGGAGGAAGGATGGGCGGGGCTAACAGGCAGAGAGAATAGGAGGAGAACTCTGAGAAGATGGAAGAGTGAGCAAAGAAGGGGCCAGTCACCCAGCCACACATGAAATAAGAAGGAAAAGCCGGGTGGTGGTGGCGCACAC